TTTATGGATTTATTTCGAACCATTTTGCATTCACTCTACAGGCCTCCCTCCTTCTCCTAAGAATATGCCTGAGCATCATTCCTGCATTGCAGGGAGTTGGACTAGGTGACATATTTGCTTCCTTCCAACTCTACAATTTGCTGATTCTATGATCAGGGCTAGGAGAGATTTACAGGGATGGGATGGACAGTGGATGGAAAATGGCAGCCTTACAGAAGTGAAACGGGTTTCAGAAGGAAGAGCTGAATGTTGCTCAGCTGGTTGGTTTTTTGCTTTTTTAAAAAAAGTGTGGTAAGATCTGTCTGTATACTCTGGACCAGCTCTGCACATCTCATGACCTACTGAGCTGATGAATCTAGATGAGTGGCCTTGCCAGATGGTTGCCAATGTCAAGGCTGCTGCCTTTGCAGTCCCAACAAGACCAGGAGTTTTAAAGGAATTTTAAAAAGCAGCAGCAACAACAACAACAGCAACCAGGCCATATTTTTCCACCTTCAACATGACTGCGATGTTGGGGGGATATTTTCCTGGCATAAAGATGAAGCAACAAGGAATGCTTTGCCTGTTTCACTGCTGGGAAGGTGAGGTGGACACTTACGCATTGTCAAAAAAGAGGAGGCTGTATCCAACCCGATTTGCCCGATTCAGAGTAGACCCATTGGCATTAACAGGCACAGCTAATGTAGGGCCATTAATTTAAGTGGTCTCTTCTGATTAGAAGCTGGCTCAGGAAACGCATCCCCCCCCAAAAAAAAGTCAAATGATGATACAGATTTGCATAGATTCTGCACAGGGGCGCCAACTTGGGCCCCAGGTTGTGGGTGCCCAATGGCACCCATGACATAGTGTGATGTCATGATGTTGTGATGTCAAGACATCATGTTACATCAATGCGCTGCAGCAGCCCTTCTGAGGACTGGCAGGGCCTCTGACGTGATCTCCGAGGCCTTGCACATCTTCCCCCGTGACTTCTGGGAAGGGCCTCTGACGTGACTTTCAGTAGAAGCCAGAAGTTGCATCGGAGCCTGTGCTGTAGACCCACAATTTTTTGTGTGGGTGCCTTGGCCCCTAGGGCCCCTGTAGTTTGTGCCTATGATTCTGCATATTTAGACCTGGATCTAGGTGTGGTTGGAGAGTAAGGGCCTGTTGAGAGGTAAGGGATTATTCCCCCTCCATACTAATGGAGCCGTGCTGATGTGAACGGCTTTTGTGGGGTGGAGGAGGAAAGAGTTGTGAAAAGCACCACCACAACTCCACTGTGCTTGAAAATGGTAATATGAAACTCCCCGGCTGGAGCTGATGTCCAGAACATCTGGAGGGCAGCAGGTTGGCTAAGGCTGCTCTAAAACATTTTGACTGTCTATTTTTAAGGGTTATCTTTTTCTCTCTTTTTTTGTCGGTTTGTTCTTCACTTCCTCTGTTTCAGCAGATGTGCTTTGGTATGACGTCAGCTGGACGTTGGCTCCCAAATTGCAATCTGGCCAACACTTGATTCAAGGAGTCGTTTCAAAACACAGCTCAAAATTGCTTGGGCGGATTCTTCCTCAGAGGGCTCCTTTTGCCCTGAGAGGCATTCAGAAGTTCCAAAGTCAGGCCTGTTATTGTGAAGCAACAATCCCTGACGATGTGAGCCAGCCACCCCCTATATCTGATGGACTTAAGTGGTTCCCAAGTCAGTTGTGCGGAAGTCTTCGCCCCACCCAGGTCTGCAGGCTGCAGATAAAAACTCTGTCGCGCTTTCCTTGATTGCTTAGTCTGAGATGAAAGAGAAGTGAGTTAAGAGCCCCAATCTGAATTATTCCCAGGGCTTTCTCACTTCCCTCTGAGTTCCCTTTAGCTCATCTGCTGCCTCCTGTGTGTAGTGCACTTATTCCACTGGAATATATTCTCTAACCTTCCAAAACTAAGAGCATCATCGGCCACTTATCGCCAGGGATGGAGAAAACCACCAATTTTCTCTTTTCTCAGGCTTCTTATATTTTCAGTCTTCACCTTAGTCCACCCCATTTCTGCATCAGTTGGTAGGCAAAAACTGGCAAGCATTTTTGTGAGTATTTTTTCCTCAATGTGTGCATTTTGCAAACACTTCCCCAGAACGTCACATCTTTGTGTACATTTGTCTCAACAGTGTATGTATTTTTGGTATGCCCAAGCTTTTGCCTAAAATAATGCATTTTGGGACACAGTTTTTTTGGCTGGAGAACTAAACAAGCGCAATAAATAAACTTGAGCTAACAATTCGGAGAAGTGCGAATTTTGAAGGTTAGCAGCAACTGAGTTCACTTATTGGTTCATGAAGTGCACCTTGCGTAGATTGGCAATAAAATGTGAATGGAATAAGAATCTCCCCACACCTTCCATGTGGTTGGAATAGCTGTATGTAGACAGGAAACATGCATAATATGGCCCAGAGTGCAGAATTCAGTCTTCAATGAGTTTCAGTTTTGTTTATTTAAATTGAACGGTAAATTTATTTCTCCTATGACAGTCATCAAGTGTTTACGCCTGCAACCAAGTATCAGAAGCCAGACGTTGATGGTGCTTGGATGTGTGGGTACAGTGGTCAGTGAATGGGGGCTTCAGCACCCCAATCAACTCTTTGCCCCTCCCCATCGCTAGCAAAAATAGACTAAATTGTGCCAGTTTTTATAACAAATTTAGGTCGCAGGATTTAACCTTCCTGGATGAAGAATGCTTTAGAGCAGGATCTTAATCCTTTGCGAGGTGAATTGTACACACAGCCAAGGAGCTAGGATAACAAGATGTCTAGATTTCAGGCTTTCAAAATTTGGTGTTGCGTTGGAAAACTCTAAGGACCCTTGGGTGGTTTCCTAGAAAGGATTGCTTGCTCTTGGAGATTAGACTATTTTTGCTGTTGTTTCGTAATCTACAAAAAATGTACATGCACAGGTGTGTTGCAGTGAGCTGCCACAAAAGGGGGAGAATTATCTGTAGCTCTGGTTGACCAGCTGGTGATATGTTTGCTTCTTCCACCTCATCCAGCACCTTCTACTTGTTTTCTGTATGAATTCTTTCCATACCTCTGTGAGCTCTTAAGGTGTTTTTCCTAGTGACGCCCCACAATCGTCTCCCTATCCCTGCAGCCATAAAAGCGGCCGTCTTCTGTAGCGCCATGCAGCTGTCTTGGGGGGGGGCAAGGGGTTGGGGCGTGGTGCTGACAGTCCCAGGAACCTGGGCTATGCTCAGCTTGGCCACAGACAGAGCCCACAGCAATGTGCCAGGAATGCAGATCTACAAAATGGGGGAAAGCTAGAGAGCTGGCTCTCCACCAAGGGCAATAAAAGGCAAGAGGCAAGCACAAGGCCCCTCTCTCAAGTTCAGTCTGGCCAGCTTTACAAAGATCAGGACAGGCCATTGTGTTGCAGGGAAGGAACTTGCCTAGGTTGCTTCTAGCCTGACTGGGCGATAGAAGCCTCTTGATCTGCTGCTGTAGATTACTGAAGGAGCCCAGCGTGTACCATAGAATTGTAAAGCTGGCAGGGACCCGAAGGGTCCCTTCTTAAATTTTGATGCCCAAAATTGGACACAATATTCCAGGTGTGGTCTGACCAAGCAGGATAGAACGGGACTATTACTTCCCTTCATCTGGACACTATACTTCTGTTGATGCAGCCTATAATAGCATTAGCTATTTTGCTGCTGCATCACACTGTTGACTCATGTTAAGCTTGTGGCTCACCAAGACCCCTAGATCCTTTTCATATATACTGCTAGTATGCCAGGTGTTCCTCATCTTATATTTGTGCATCTGGTTCTTCCTGCCTAAGTGCAGAACCTTACATCTGTCCCTACTGAAATTCATTTTCTTAGCTTGGGCCCACTTCTCCAGTCTGTAAAGGTCATTTTGAATTCTGATTCAGTCTTCTGCGGCATTAGCCACCCCTCTCAGTTTGGTGCCATCTTCAAATTTGACGAGCATCTTTAATATTTGTTGCTGCATCTCCTTTGAGTATTTGGATGTTTACAAAGGTTGTCCAGGATTTTCAAAATGCTCAACTTGCAGACACTGAGAGTCACCAGAGTTGGGGCTTCCATCATAGCACAGCACATTCTATGCATTAGCATTTTCCAGTGTGAGGTGAATCTTCTGCCATAAGCAGCCTTCTGGATATGAAGCCATGCCAAACAAAAGGGCTGCTACTGTCATGGGGCCTGATTGACCAAACTGCCTCCACCAAGTGGGTTTTCATATGTCTCAGCCCTCAGTCAGGATGGGCTAAACTGTTGATTTTGGGTTCTTTCAGTTTCTCATTCTTCCAATCTCAAATTGCAAATTTGCAGTTTCAATTTCCAATATTTCAGTTTGCGGGGCGGGGAACACACACACATCCGCACCAGCATTTTGGTGTAGATTTCTTCTAATTTTTGCAAACTGTTTCCCCTGATAAAAATGCTGTGGGTTTTCGTTGTTGTTTGTTTTTCTATTTTGACTAATATACGGTAAATGATACTGATGGTGATGATAGCAGCAGCAACAATTTAATTTAATTTTTTATACCCTGCCCATCTAGCTGGGTTCCCCCAGCATATTTTAATACATATGATTTGGTTAGAGAAGTTCACCAGATTCAGAGAATTGCAGATTTTGAAGGACAGCTGTCTTTTACTTAACATATTGTTTTGGAAGGTGTGAATTAGGGAGGTTTGCATTAAAATCTGAGCGTAACTGGATTTCACCCTCACTCTGAGCTCTTAGCTATTTCTTCTCCAGAAAAAGGGGAGGCAGTAGACTGTTGGTGAATCTTTTGCTCCTGGTTCCAGTAAGTTCCAGTTAAGAGCAAGAGCCCAGGGGTTTCACTTAACAGTTGGGTGGAGGTGCAAAATATCTGATTCAATCTGCAACTCTGAGGCAAAGACTAGTTTCAGGTAAAGCCTGCCTTGGCAGCTGCTTGCCAGCTCAAAGAGGGAGCATAACTTGAGTTTCTGGTCTAGTTTTGACAACCATTTTTAATTTTGGGTTTCTTCTCTTTGGCATCCAGGAGGCCCTCTCCGTGGTGAGTGAAGATCAGTCCCTCTTTGATTCCACCTACGGCGCTGCTGCTCACCTCCCCAAAGCAGACATGACAGCCTCAGGGAACCCCGATTATGGCCAGCCCCACAAAATCAACCCTTTGCCTCCTCAGCAGGAGTGGATCAACCAGCCAGTCCGAGTCAACGTCAAGAGGGAGTACGAGCATATGAATGGATCCAGGTGAGGAAGGACAAAAGGCTGTGCTGTATTTCTAGAAAAAGAAGTGTCGGAACTCACCATTAACAATATACCTTGTTTTCTTATGTAGGGACGTGGGTGGTGCCGTGGTCTAAACCACTGAGCCTAGGGCTTGCTGATCAGAAGGTCGGCGGTTCGAATCCCTGTGACGGGGTGAGCTCCCGTTGCTCGGTCTCTGCTCCTGCCAACCTAGCAGTTCGAAAGCACGTCAAAGTGCAAGTAGATAAATAGGTACCACTCTGGAGGGAAGGTAAATGGATTTCTGTGCGCTGCTCTGGTTCCCCAGAAGTGGCTTAGTCATGCTGGCCACATGACCCGGAAGCTGTACGCCGGCTCCCTCGGCCAATAAAGCGAGATGAGCGCTGCAACCCCAGAATCGGCCATGACTGGACCTAACGGTCAGGGGTCCCTTTACCTTTTACCTGTTTTCTTATAATGGCAATGGTGCTCACCTTACAGGTGCTGGAACTGCAAAAAAGCCCTGACAAAATGTGTGAACAGGATGCCTTGGTGCCAGCTTGGGATCCTGTGTGTGGAAGCTCAGAAAGGCACACAGAGGAGATCCTCACCTCTGGAGTTCAGGTTGCACTCTCCTACTGCAGGGCCAACAGTCGTTTTTTCCCTCCTGAGGTGAAATGAGAAAGTGAAACCCTGCACAGACACACACACACCCTTGCCAACCTCGCTGCTTACTGGAGTTGTGTAGCTGTGGCCTCCAGGCAGTGGCGTAGCGTGGGGGGTGCAGGGGGGGCCGGCCACACCGGGCGCAACATCTGGGGTTAGGGCAAATCCACAGGTTAGGGGGCGCAAATCCACGGGTTAGGGGGCGCAAATCCACGGGTTAGGGGGCGCAAATTACTTGCCTTGCCCCGGGTGCTGACAACCCACGCTACGCCACTGCCTCCAGGTTCTGGCAAGATCTCTGCAAGATCTCTCAGAGACCTCATGTGGCCTTCACAAGACTCTGGTAAAGTTGCACGAGGCCTTCACAAGATTTCACAGGACTCTTGCGAGATCTCGATGGAACCTGGAAACTGTCACTAATTTTCCTCACTGCTCCAGCAGTGTGTGTGTGTGTGTGTGTGTGTGTGTCTTCCCCTACATCCAAGTAACCAATGCCAATTCCCCCCTCCTGAAATAGAATTTGGTTCTAGATAAGAGCCTCTGGCAACTTGCCATAACATGGAAGGAAAAAGGAGAGTTGTTGCATGAAATTCTAGCACATACTGAAAAATAGGGATGGGGAACTTGCTGTTGCCGGACTACAACTCCCATCATCCTTGGCCATTGGTTTTCAGACTCCAGGATAAGGGTTTAGGCTTGTCAGTTTGTGATCCAGAGGTGCTACAAACATATACAGGACAACTGCCTCTAGATATGTCAGGGGAATCAGAGCTGGCGCAGGGATGCCTTCAGCTTGCTCCATTTCTCCCCTCTATTTCCAGTCTCTGCCTCCCTTCTGCATCTGCTTAGTGAAGTATCCAAGGAACGTGTCTCATCAGGGCATGAATTTCTGCTTGTACAGCAGAAATTCTGCCCCCTCCCAAGTGCTCTCTGAACTCTCCCCAAATTGCTCTGGAGTTTTGGGGTAATCCCTAGAACAGAGGTCACAGGAGGAGAAGAGAGGGGAGCTCCGTTGTGCAAGCCCTGATGATATGAATTTTGTATCGCTACTTTGGCTGCAACCCCAGGACTTCATTTTTTGCACTCTGGGAAGAACAAGAGGAGAGCAGGAAGAGGACTTGGGGGCAGGGGCATGAGGGCCATCCACAGCTGCGACCCCTCTACATCAGGACCTGGAAAGCCAGCACCAGAGAACAAAATTTTGCTGTGACCTGCAAATTGCAATGTGCTTCTTTGTAGAGCACAATTTCTCTCTTCTCCCCAGTAGTTTTGGCAAACTGGCCTTTGCACCTCATAGAATTGTAGAGTTGGAAGGAATCCTCAAGCATCACCCAACAATTCAGGAACCACAGCGAAAGAATCCCAGACCGGTGGCCATTCAACCTCTTCTTAAAAACCTCCAATGAATGAGAGCCTGCCACCTTCCGCCTTTGTGATCCTTGCCAATCCCAATGCAAAGACAGATAAATGGAGCCAGTGACTATCAGGCCATAGGTCACCCTTTCTTACACTTTTCTTCAGAGGGGCTACAAATGGACATCTTGGCTGTGGTGTGGTTTTGCCCTGATGGCGCTTTTCATCCCATGATCAGCAATGGGGGAAACTCGCCGCTGGCTTGCTGTTTAGCCTCCCTTGTGACGTTCTTCTTTCCTGCGCCTGAAATGAGGAAATTCAGAAGCAGCGCCTAGAGGCAGATAAACAGAATTGGTGGCTCGTTCTGAGGAATCTTGTGCTCCAAAAGAAATGGGGACAATATGTCAGGCTCCATGAGCCAAGGCAATTTGAATTATTATCCTTCCAACGAGAACCGGATAAATATTTTCTAGTGCCTGAGTCTGTGCTGGATTAACAGCTGTTATTATTATTTTTTTGCAAACAGGACAACTCTGTAAGAATAATGCCCGGTGCTTTGATTTTAAGGTTGCTATAGGATTATGGAACTATCTGGGTGGGAATCTTAACCCCGACACCTTAGAGACAGCAATGTTAATTCTGAGCTCTGCTGGCAGACTCCATATGCCTGTCCCTGGGATATTTTCTTTATTGAAACAATTTTTTTATCGTTGTTTTCAATAACCACAACAAGCAAACAAACAAAAACCAGACAGTAGGAATGTCAACCTTTATCATTCAAAAATAGGAATTAATGAAAGATTCCCAAGAGCAATCTTCAGCTCCAGCGGTTCTCAAACTCCTCCTACCTCCACAGACCACTGTGGATGGTTTTGGCGAATCACATAACAAATTTTCTGCCTGTTGTAGCCATAGTAATGCACCGTGCTAGGTGTTGTATGCTTTTAAATTATATTTAAATAACTTATTTTATTTCTTATGTACTGTTGTATTGTATTATATTTCATTTAATTCACCAAATTTATATACTGCTTGATGGTTAAAAACACACACACATAGACACAACCGGGAAAGTGATTTACAATAAAATGCATTTCGTAGAATTTGAGAGGGTGGGGGTAGCAAGACCATTTCATTTCTTCATTTTAAAAATAATTTCATTTTTCATTTTCATTTCACAATTGCAACATTAGATAATAATCCCAATATCAAATAAACATTTAATGTTGACATCCCCCACCCTTTCCATGGTTTACTTCATTATTTTATTTTCCACAGCATATTCTAATTGACCCCTCACTTTTCATTTTCTCATTTTTTTATCTCAATAATTGTTACTGCTGAATTTACTCTGTTGCTGTTAACTTTTTAATAGGCTTACAATAATTTTCCAAATATTCCGTAAAACATTTCCAATCTTCTTTAAATGTCCCCCCCCCCCAATCTTGGTTTCTTATTCTGTTGGTCAATCTTGCCATTTCTACATATTCTATCCATTTCATCTGCCATTCTTCCTTTTGGTATTAGAGTAAGACCATTTCAGACCAGGGTCTACCAAAATTACCACATGGGTTAAGTCTAACAGCTGCCTGCCACTGAACTGGGGGAGCACCATGGGTCATATCAAAGTTAAGAAAAACATCAGAGAGGGTGGGGGGAAATCCAGCACATAACTGCACTTGCCTCCAATTCCTCACTTCTGTATTTCGCCTTGTAAAAATACTCCATTGGGTGGAGTTTGTGACTTTCAGAAAGTGCCCTTCTCCACGTAGAATCGTGGTTTATCTGCCCAGGAAAACAGAGTGTGTGTCTGTGTGCATGTGTGTGTGTGTAAACCAGCACAGAAAGTCCTCGGACAAGGGGAGGGGGACCCGGTTTAAGCAGCCCTTTAAAATCTGCAGTGGCCTTGATTTATCCCAATGGCTGGGAAGCCTCCTCGCTGCACTCATCTTGGCTCCTTCACATCAGGGCCCAGAATACAGTGGTACCTCGGGTTAAGTACTTAATTCGTTCCGGAGGTCCGTTCTTAACCTGAAATTGTTCTTAACCTGAAGCACCACTTTAGCTAATGGGGCCTCCTGCTGTTGCCGCGCCGCCGGAGCACGATTTCTGTTTTCTTCCTGAAACAAAGTTCTTAACCTGAAGCACTATTTCTGGGCTGGCGGAGTCTGTAACCTGAAGCGTATGTAACCTGAAGTGTATGTAACCCGAGGTACCACTGTACTTACCTTTCTCCCTGGCTTAATTCATTGATAATGCCAAACTGATCCAGAGAGAAACGCCTGCTTCTCAACCACAGCCGTGAAAGAAACAGAGGCTTCAGGTGTCTTCTCTCATTGTTATCCTGGCTAATCTGATTTCTCTTCCTTTAGTCTGCAGGAGATGGAGGGTCCTTGGAAAGTGGGGCAAATTGTCCCCATCTTTGGGTGGTGGGGGGAGACGCAGAAGGCCAGTTGAAATCTTCCCTCCCCCCCTAAAAAAATTATTAGTTTTCCAAATTTATAACAAACACAAAATAACAAAACATATTAAAAAGGCAAAACAAACAAACATATAAAACTTCTTACAGTTAAAAATCCAAGTTAATTTCCATTGTTAAATGACTTCCTCGCATCCTTCCTAACTGATTTTCACTGAGTCATTTTAGCAATTTTCCAATATCTACTTTCTAATAAAATTAACTAGTTCAAATTGTTAACTTCCTTTCTTTTAATGATAATCTCAATCCATAGTATTATACAATTCAACATACTTTAATCCTAAAACAATTTGGTACTTGCAAGTATTTCCACTTACGTTATAATATAAAATTTAGCTAAATATTCCTTAAATTTCTTCCAATCTTCTTGATATTTCTCCTCTTTCTGCTTGCGGATTCTTCTAGTAAGGTTGGCCAGCTCCAAAAAGTCCAACATCTTCATCTGCCAATCTTCCACTGTTGGTATTTCTTGTGATTTCCAGTTTTTGGCTAGTAAAATTCTCGCTGCAGTTGTGGCATACAAAAACAATCGAACATCTTTTTGGGGCAATTTCATTCCTATAGAAGGCCAGTTGAAATCTTTGTGAAATTTCCTCCTTTTGCAAACACAAGGGGAGAGTTTGATAATAGGCTCGAGACTCGCTCATCTTTGTATATAGCCTGAGTCCCCTCACTGGCAAAGTAGCTGGTGTCCTTGGCATCGTGCCACGCAGAAAGGCCATGCTGAAACCCCATGTTTGTGGTTTGCAGGGTCCGCCTCCACCTCCACCCCGTTCATGTGTTTCTTGTACCCCGCAATTGTTTGGCAGAGCTGTGACTCTTGGATTCTGAGTAATAAACATGGTCTCTCTCTCTCTCTCTCTCTCTCTCTCTCTCTCTCTCTCTCTTCTTTCTTTCTTTCTTTTTGCCTCTCCCTCAGCCCCCCTCTTTACAGGGCTCCAGCTGCCTCCCAAGAAAGCAGCCTTTACTCTCTTCTTCACCTGTGCGTCCAGCCAGGGATGGGCAAATCCACTGCTTCCCCCCTTAAAAAAATGTTTAGGGGTACTCTCATTTTGACGCAAGAAAATTACCGTTTTATACTTCAAATTGGGAAAAACAATACAGTAAATGGACAAAAGTACAAAGATTCACAAAATGTTTAGGGGTATGCGTACCCCTGCACACCCCTCCCCCGAAAAAAGCACTGGGCAAATCTGTCCCTTTCACTTGCTCTCTGGATCTGTCTTTCTGCCAATCAGTTCGCTACATTTCCACACCGGTTTGCAATTTCTTTTTTATGAAAATTCATTCTCATTCCCACATGTGAAATTCCCCTAATCTGTATGCAATTTTGCCCAATATAGATTTTTTTTTCTTTTTTGTGAAGCTATCTCCCCAAACGCGAGCCATTTTGCAGTGTTCTTTTTCATGAACAGATCCATTTTGATGTACATTTTACCCCCAGTAAATGCGTTTTTATATTCCTTGCTTGCAAAATTCAGAAAAGTGAGAATTTTGAAAGCTGAGCATGATCATTGTGGCTGGTAGCTCTTGGTAGTCCGTTCCTTCTCCAGGAATCCATGTACAAATCCCTGTGAACTTTGGGAAGGCCCATAGCACATGCTCTGCACCCAGTTCTTTATATCTCTACCTGGACTGGAAGAACTGCAAGCCACTGTAGACAATGCTGAGCTAGAAGCCCCAGTGGACTGACCTGATATGAGATCCTTTGGAAACCTTAGGTGGCTTTTAAACAAAATAATTGAGACAACTGCCATTCTCATATTCATCAGAGAGACCGTACGTGGCTTTCTCTATCCTCAGTGGGTCCATGCTCATAGCACTGTGACCAATTGCTGCTCTCCAACATGTCCCATTGAGTGTTTGTCGCATTCAGATCTCCCCTTCCCACTGTGAGAAACACCAGGGTAGTCACAGCATGGTTGCTACCTAAGAGTCTCAGCTTCTGGGCCCCTCCTAGATTGCTGAAGAAGTTGCTGTCCCGATGTTGCTGGACTTCAACTCCCATCATCCTTTGGTCTGTTTGGTTGAGACCAGTGCTTATTTTTCGGGGGGGGGCACATACCCCTAAACATTTTGTGAATCTAAGTTTGGCCTCACTGAGGGGCAGTATTTCAATATGTGTAGGAAAATGAGAATACCCCTAAACATTTTTGTTTTAGAAAAAAAGCACTGGTTGGGACTGATGGGAATCGAAGGCCAATGATATCCAGAGGACCACAGCTTCAACCCCTCAGCCTTGCAGCACCAGACACCTGAAACTGAAACCCTGACAGCAGTTTCTGCTCTCTGATGCTGTCCCATCTTATACATCTGCTGGCAGCCCAAACACTACTTTGGAGAAGGCTGTAATCCCTCCAGAGAAACTCTGTAGCATGCCAAAGATTTTGCACTCCAAATACTTGCAGCTTTTAACACCTGACACTGAGAATTTCTGCTGCCAGTGAGAAATGGTCTGGCCTTCTCTCTCTCTCTCTCTCTCTCTCTCTCTCTCTCTCTCTCTCTCTCTCCTCTCCTCTCCCTCTCTCTCTCTCTCCAAGGCTTGTCTGCCCTGCAGTTCCTCAACACCCCCCCCCCCGACTGCCACGGGGACATTAAAACTCCAGCAATTTGCCTCTCCAAAGACTGACTTTGGTTCGGTGCCTGGAAAAACAGTAGGCGAAATAGTGCAACCTTAAATTCTAACATGTGTAAGTTATACATCTTATTTCCATTTCCAAGCAGCCTTTCTCCCCAGAAAGACATGAGGAAAAAATTAACATCCGCCTCGAGAATATCTCAGCGGAACGTTTATCTCCTAGCCACGATAACTATGCTAGAGTAATTCTGCCTCCGCGCCTTAACAAACAAATTTAATGTTCTCAATTGGAAAATCCTTCAGGCTTGTTCGCCAGATGGGAATCCAGCACAGAGTTGTAAGGCTTCCCTTTTCAGTGAATAGGGGCAATTATTTCAACGCTGGATTTTGTGTGTGTGTGAATGTGAGAGGTGGTTGTGTGTGTGTGTGTGTGAATGTGGGAGGTGGTTGTGTGTGAATGTGAGAGGTAGCAAGTTCAGATGACACACACATACACACCCTGAAATAATATATGATGTATAATGTCCACTGTCCCATGTGGGCAAGCTCTGCTTTCCATGGGTAACACAGGCCATGACCACATCCCCTGCCCTCCATGGGTGTGGCTGGCATGTAAAAGGAACATGGAAGGAAGACCCCCGGTCCATCTAGCTCTTTGTTGAGACATTGATAGTCAGCAGCTCTCCAGGGTTTCAGGTGAATGATGTTCCCACTCCCACCTGAGTTGCCTCCACTGGAGATGATGCCTGGGACCTTTTGGATACAAAACAGATGCTCTAACCACTGAGCTACAGCCTTTCCCTTTATACTTGGTCTACACTGATCATGGTCCTCAGTCGTTTCAGATGGGAGTTGCTTTAATGTCCCATGGTGGGCAGGCCTGTGGGTCATCATGGCTGCCCAGGGCTTTCCTAACATATTTTTGCTGCCCCACTTTCCCTCCTTGGCACAAGAAGCCCTCCTTCCTCTGGCATTGCAGGGGGCTGACCCATTGGATCACTTCTAACTCTACTGTTCTGTGTAGTTGCACTGGAGCTGACGATTGCCTGGTACTGATCTGCCCCTGTGTTTGCATTTCAGGGAGTCCCCGGTGGATTGCAGCGTCAGCAAATGCAACAAGCTGGTTGGTGCCGGGACCGAATCAAACCCCTTAAATTATGGCACCTACATGGATGAGAAGAATGGACCTCCTCCCCCCAACATGACAACCAATGAGAGGAGAGTCATTGTGCCAGCAGGTAGGGGTTCAACAGTTTCTGGGACACTGACACCCATCTGCATAGCCCAGATTTGGTTTTGGTCCTAACATGACCTCTTTCATCAGAGAAATGAACAGGAATACTGTAGGCCTTCAATGAAGGGTGGTTATTGTGGTTGCTCCTGAAGGCTCCATTTTGGGGTCAGTGATGAATCCAAACATCATGGCAAGATGGCAAGTTGAAGATGCATGAATTGCCTTGATGAATCTGGTCCAAACTTGGGGAACCTGTGCCCTTGCCCTGCCCCCAGATGCTGTTGGACTCCCATCAGTCCCAGTCAATATGGCTGATGGGCAGGTTTGACGGGAGCTCTAGTCCTGGAGGGCCACAGGCTCCTCATCCCTGACCCAAAGCCTTGTCACAGCAGTTCATGCACTTGAATTACTTCAAGACTGGATTACTGCAGCACGCTCTATTCAGGGCTTCCCTCGCGCTTCATCCAGAAGCTGCAGTTGGTGCAGAATGAACGATTGCTGCCAGGTGTAAGGGCTTGCCAGCATATAACACCTTGTGCTCAGAGATCTGCACCAGTTGCCAATTTGCTGCCAGGTCAAGTTCAAGGTTCTGCTATTGGTTAGAAAGCCCTAAACAACTTGGAACCTATGAGATCACCTTACCCCACATGTGCCCACTTGCTGAATTGGCACTACTACACATGCCACATAATACTCGTTCCTCATTTGTAAGAACTTGGTTGTTTAGTGTGGCAGCATCTGTGCTGTGGAACTCCCTGCCTCTTGACGTAAGGCAGGCACCATCATTGTACTCTTTTTGGCACCTGCTAAAAACATTCTTGTTTAGACAAGACTGTCTGGATGCTTAGAAATGCTGAGGTGGATTTTAACCTGTTTTAGTATTTTAACATTTTGCATGTTTCAACTTTTCTTGGTAAGCAAGGATGGTCATGCGAGGACTGTTCCAAGGAGATGGTTCAAGTGCACGTGTTTTTGCTTATGCGCACCAATCCTGGTTCATAACCCCCATGCAAGATGCTATCGTGCTGTAATTGCAATTGCAAGAGTTCACCTGAGGACGGAATCTGGGAGAACGGAGAAGGAAAGTAAAGGGCATGCAGAATACATTCTGCTATGACTCTTTTTCTGAAGGGTACCCCTGCGTGTCTAGATAAGAGTCATGAGAAAAATAGCACAGGATGCAGATAAAGAGGCAGACATGCAGTGATAGGTACCTCTGTAAAAACAGCTTCAGACCCTGATATATTGCTCCCTAAGGAGAGGCACAAGGGTGTTGTTTTTAAAGTAGAAACTTTATAGTTAGATTTACTTTATTTTATAGTTAACTGCGGTTCACGGTAACTATGGTTAGCTTTAAATAACCCCAACCATGGTTTATGGAGCTGGCTTGTTTCAACTGAGCATGCTTCTGAACTCCTCAGCTGTGTGGAAGGAAGAGAGGAGGGAGCAAATCTAGGAGCCTGGGGAAATCTAGGATCATGTGATCTTCCACTAAACCATGGTCTGGCATTACAACCAAACATGGCTACAGCAGATTCTGCAGAGTGAATGGTTTTGGAGGAAGAAGCTATGGCTCAGTGGTAGAGAATGTGCACTGCAGTCTGAAGCGCCTAGGTTCCCTCCCTGCCATTTCCAGTTAAAAGAAACAGGTGGCAGAATGAGATGTGGGAAAGATCTCTTCCTAGAGAGCTGCTGGTGGTCAGAGTAAGCAACCCTGGGTTTGTGTCTGCACAAATGTGTCTGCACTTGAAGCAGCTTTCTGATCTTGCTATATCAGAGTCCGATAAAGTTGGCATAAGGTAAAGGCAAAGGAACCCCTGACCATTAGGTCCAGTCGTGACCGACTCTGGAGTTGTGGCGCTCATCTCGCTTTATTGGCCGAGGGAGCTGGTGTACAGCTTCTGGGTCATGTGGCCAGCATGACTAATCCGCTTCTGGTGAAACCAGAGCAGCGCACGGAAACACCGTTTACCTTCCCACCAGAGTGGTACCTATTTATCTACTTGCACTTTGACGTGCTTTCGAACTGCTAGGTTGGCAGGAGCAGGGACCGAGCAACAGGAGCTCACACCGTCGCGGGGATTCGAATTGCCGACCTTCGGATCGGCAAGTCCTAGGCTCTGTGGTTTAACCCACAGCGCCACCCGCTTCCCTAAAGTTGGCATAAGGCCAGCCTAATGTAGTTGGTACCCTAAACTCATCCAGCCTGCACAAGCCAAGCGTGGAATTGCCCTATCAGTTCCTAGAATCGCCACTGGCGGTTAGCATTCTGTATGTCAGTCCTTGGCAGCAATGTGTCGTTGTGGACGGAATCCATCATTCTTCCTGCCCTCCTCCTCCTGTGTTGACTCTGCAGGGCTAGCGTGGCAAGGGAAGGGTGAGTGGGCGGGGGAGAGTTTGTTTTTGTCAGCAGGGTCTGGAAATATGACTCAGACCGAGGAAGCCAGCTTGTCTGAGCAAGGAGAGGTCATTTTCACAGAATTTACTACTTTCTGGAGCACAGTAAGGAACATCCGTCCAAAAATTTTAATAACCCATCTGTACGAGATTTGCAACGGGCCGAGAGGAGGACCAAATGTGCTGGCCTGCCTGTTTGTAGCTGCTTTGCGACTGGAGACCTGCAAGAGTAGCTGAAGGGGGTGGGGAGTAAGACCTCCTGCTCTTCAGGAAACAGAGGTGCTGTGATGGGGTCAGTGTGGTGTGTGCAGTGAGTTGTTGAGTGGTGGGGTCAAATCCTGCCCATTTGGCTTCTCACACAAGCACCCACAGCTAATGCAGAAATGAGCTGTGCCCTCCCATCTGCTGATGTCACAAGTATGTCCGCTGAGTGGCAGGTGAGCGTGGCTTGGGGAAAAGATCATCGGAGGCCAAATTGGGACCCCTGGCCGGCCAAGGTTAGCCCACCAGTCCGTCTGTAGCAAGAGAGAGAGGAAGACAGAGGCAACCCTCTTAGGCCCACTGAAGTCTTACTGATGGAAAAATTTCTCATCTAGCTCAGTTGGTAGAGCACGAGACTCTTAATCTCAGCATCTCGGGTTTGAACCCCACGTTGAGCAAAATATTCCTGCATCGCAGGGGGTTGGACTAGATGACCATTGTGGTCCCTTCCAAGTCTACAAATTCTACAATGCTATGATTCTAATCTCTTCAGTATCTGAAACTGATGGCTCATTGATAGGAATAACACCCCCCTCAACAATCTTTCGGTGCTTGTTTGCATTTTCAAGTGCCCAGATCTCCCCCCCCCACTTGCTTAGTTGCAGTCCTTACAACAACCCTGTAAAGTAGGTCAGTGTCATTATCCTGAATATCACAAACAGGGAAGATTGAAGCTGAGAGGGAGTGCCTTTCCTAAAGCCAAGTGGTGAGTTCGTGGCAGAGGTGGGATTTGCACTGTGGACTTTCCCAATGCATAGCTCAGTCTCACAATCAAGCAGGGAAAATGTCCTTAGCTACCTGTACATTGACGGAGCAGGAAAGCTCCTGGCAATCCCCCCCCCATGACTTTGGACTACAACTCCAATAATCCCTGTTCATAGGCCATGCTGGGTGGGGCTGATGGGAACTGGAGTCCAGCAGCATCCAGAGGCCTTCACAGGTTGCTCATGCCTGCCCTAAACAATCTGGCCCAACTTACCTGCAGAACTGTCTTCACTCCTGTGATCCACTGTGACCTACATAAGAACAACGGTGCACAGAGAAATGTTCTCAGTGGCTGCTCCCCAGCTTCAGAATTTTCTTCCCCTGGAGACTCTCCAAAGCCAGAGCCTGTGCATCTTCTGGAAGTGGTGGTTTTATTCAAGCCAGTAGCCAGGATGTGATTGTTATTGCGAGTTTTTACAGCAAAGCATAATTGCAGGTTTTACAGCAATTAAGCGGTACATAAATTTTGTTGAATCAATAATAAACACATTGGCATATAATCCACTCTGAACACTTGGAATCTCAAAGGCTATACACATTGTTGCAGGGAGGAGGATAACAGCTTTACTGTTGCTCTAAAGCAGGGGTGGGGGTGGGGGCTTTTTTTGGTCCTCTGGATGTTACTGAGCCACAACTCCCATCAGCCCCTGCAAGCATGGCCAACAACCTGAGATGATGGACATTGTAATTCAGTGACTTCTGGAGGGCCAAATGTCCCCCATACCTGTTGTAGGAGAAAAACCTTGATGACTACATGAGCACTGTTCCACACACAACATTTGATATTTTCATTTACATACATTCATTCGAAATAAGATAGCTTTATGAAGCAATTCTATATCCTCCCACCACGCTGACAAAGAATTCTACGAAATAGTAGTCTATATCCAGAATCACTGTTCAGTGTTGGACATCATATTTGCTGAATACACAAAGCTTCACAGCTTGTCTTTCATCGTGCAAAGTCTGGTACCTCACTTCATTTAAAGATTTTCAGAGACTTTGAGACCAAAGATTTCATTTTGGATTTGTTATGGTTTGAAGGAATTCTATAAAAGATTGTCTATTGCTTATGTACATGGTCATCGTGTTGCCTAGACATTGCTGACGTTGTCTTTGCAACACAGGGGTTTGTTTGGTTACTTATCACTATCCCCCCCCCCCGCTTCCTTCTGGCAGACCCCACATTATGGACCCAGGAGCATGTCCGCCAGTGGCTTGAGTGGGCTATCAAGGAGTACGGCTTGATGGAGATCGACACCAACCTCTTCCAGAACATGGACGGGAAGGAGCTCTGCAAGATGAACAAGGAGGATTTCCTCCGGACCACATCTCTCTACAACACGGAAGTTCTGCTGTCTCACCTCAGCTACCTCAGGGAAAGTAAGTGACTGCTCTGTTCTGCCTTCTTCTTTCTCGGAGGCCTGCCTGGCACGTCAAACAAAGAGTAGGTTCTTTTGGCCGAGAGCTGAAGTCAGAAGGGTAGCTGGCAGGAGAAAAGGAAAGAGGTTGAAAGCGGGCCAGGGTCAACAGCAGGAGCCAGTGTGGCACAATGGTTAGAGTGTTGGGCTAGGACCTGGGAGAGCAGAGTTCGAATCCCCTACTCAGCCATGAAGCTCACTGGGTGACCTTGGGCCACCCGCTCACTCCCTCGCAGGGTTGTTGTGAGGATGAAAATGGGGAGGAAGAGAACCATGTGTCTCTCTTTGAGATCCTTGGAAAATAAAGGTGGTATATAACTGAAATAAATAAATACATACATACATACATACATACAAACAACAAGAAATGCAAGAAAACAGTGTCTTTCCTGATGTTTCTGGACTCTAACTCCCATCATTCCTGGCCCATAGCCCTGCTTTCTGGGGCTGATGGGATTTGGAGTCCAGGAACATCTGGAGGGCCAAAGTCTCTCCATGCCTGAAGCAAAATCTCCCAAGCTGTGCTTGTTCTGCCTGGTTTTTTCTTGTACCCGCTCTCAGAGGTGGATTTAGGGCAGCGCAACTGGTTCCACTACTCTGGCCACCAAGCCAAGGAGGCATTGCAACAGTAGTGAATTGAGCAGAAAGGGAGAGGTGGTGGGGCACTGACTTTTGGCCTCACATAGGGCACCTCTGAAATTTGAAAGTCCAAAGTCCACCCCTGAGGCTCCTATCACAAAAACCTAGCTGGCGTTGTGGAAGAGCAGATCCACCGGGTTTCCTCTGAAAATGCACATCAATGAATTGCTTATTTGTTTAGCTCTGTTATCTCGCTGAGAACAACTTTTTAAAACACCAAGCCGCAGACATTTTGTCTGACTGAAAAAAGGTGTCTCCAATTAACTGATGGAAAGATTAAGTAGTTATAGAAGCTCTGTCTCTGTGCAAGCGATATAGAGTGAAGTGTGTGGGGAGCCTCTCCTTAAGGGCACAGCACACATGACCCTTATGGGGGCCAATGGGAACTTTGCCCCCCATTGCTAATTGCAGCACAGGGCAGTTTTTTTCTATTAGGGTTGCAGTTGGGGAGGGAAGGTTCACATGTCCCCTCCACACATGGTGTAATCCCAATGGAAATCCATGGGGTGTGTGTGCCTAGGATGTTGTTGTTTTTTTATCACCTGATTGGCTGCAAGTCCCATAGCTGGTTTAATGTGTAGTTAGGTTTGCATGCAGATGTATGTCATAATAAAGAGCTAGAGCAGAATGCCTATATGCATGTGAACTCAGAAATGAGAACCGTGCAAATCTGTTTGGCATGGGGAGAGTGCAAAAGAGGAACCAAAGGGTTTGCATTTCTGCTTTCTGTACACCTGGAATTTGTAAGATCCAGACACGAAGACTTGTATCCAATACAGAACAGATTTGCTGAATTTTACTGGCATGGCTAGCTTAGGTCCATTCATTTCAGTGGGTCTACTCTGCGTAGACATTAGTTGGCTCCCAGTTCCAGGGTTCAACCAGCCTCTCAGTGAGTGAACCCATCAAAGTCTTTTTTCAGTGCAACCCAAAGCCAAACAGATTTGCCAGCAACCTCCAGTTCAGCAGCCTCACACTCTTATCTGCCTCAAAATGTGGTTTCCTGGAGTGCAGCAACTTTGAGGACGTAATGCTCAGCACCGCCACGTTCTGAGGCTTCTTTCCACCCACATCTGACTTGGCAACTAGGAAAGTTGTGCTGATCAACATCACTTTCTTGGTGTTTTCCTGCCGTCACAGTGCAGTGACCTGAGCTCAACCACCATAGAATTGTAGAGTTGGAAGAGACCCAAAGGGTCATCTAATTCAACCCCATGCAATGGAGGAGTCACAGCTAAAGAATCCCTGTCAGACAGCCATCCAGCCTCTCTCTAAAACAGTGGTTCTCAACCTGTGGGTCCCCAGATGTTGTTGGACTACAAATCCCATCGTCCCTGAGCTCTGGCCTTGCAAGCTAGGGGTGATGGGAGTTGTAGCTCAACAACATCTGGGGACCCACAGGTTGAGAAGGGCTGCTCTAAAAGCCTCCAATGAAGGAGAGTCCATCACCTTCCAAGGTCATCCATTCCATTATTGGACGGCTCTTACTATCAGAAAGTTCTTCCTGATGTTTGGTTGGAATCTCCTTTCTTGTAACTTGAATCCATTGGTTTGGATCTTCTCTTCTGGAGAAGCAGAAAACAAGCTTCCTCCATCTTCTGCGTGACAACCCTTCAGATATTTGAAGATGGCTGTCATACCACTTCTCAGTCTTCTCTTCTCCAAGCTAAGCATCGCCAACTCCCTCCTCCGCTCCTCTTCAGGCTTGGTTTCCAGATCCTTGATCATCTTGGTTGCCTTCCTATGCACACTTTTCAGCTTGATTGCTGTGGTCAATGACTTGCACGAGCCTGCCTCCCTGGGCACCTGACCTGTTCCTTTCTTCTGTTTTGCACACTGACTCCATGAGATGAGGCTGCGATCCTCTGCGCTGCTTTCTTGCTGCTGCCATCTCTGGCTGTAATTGGGGGTGGGAAGAGGTGTGGGCTTTGAGGGAGATAGGGCAAAGCCTTGTTCTCATTAAAGCATGTTCACAGGCCAAGCCAGGCTACTGGACATGACTCCTTTCCAAACAGCTGTTCCTGTGCCTGCTTCACGACAGTCTGGTTTCTGGATTTCTGGGCAACTCCCTTGTGGCGTCATGCCTTTGAAGGGAATTTATTGTTTTTCCAGACTTAATTTCCACTGGATGTTTTGCGCTGCATCTCTGAACCAAGAAGGGCACTGAAGGAGATGGCTCCTTATTTCCCCACAACAGAGGGACATTGGGGGCACTTTAATCCACTGCAGTGAGTGAGGAACACTTTGCAGAGAGCAGTGGAGCAGCTGGGGAATTTTAGACTCTGGGTTTAATGGTTGTCCGGATGGTCACTTGCTTAAAAGTAGGGCAAGCCAGCCCTATGGTAGCTGACTGGGGTCCTGGGCCAGAGTCCTGCCCTGAAGGCACCAGGGTAAGAATCACAGACAAGCAGCTTACAGGGGGATCAACCACATCCTTTTTCAGTCTCTAGAGACTCAGCAAGCGGTGAGGTGGGGGGTCTGGTTTGCTTGTCATCTAAAGGTAAAATTAACACATTTGCACTTTCTGAAATGAAACACCATGGTTGGGGGACCTTTTCTGCCCAGGAGGACAGATCCTTTCCTCCTTACCCTTGGAGGCCCAAATCTGGCAGATGAGCTGGGTCACCCACCTGTCAGTTGCCCAACAACATAGTGACATCAGGTGATGCTGTGCTTTGAAGCCCCCAACTGTTGGGGCTTCAAAGCATAGCATAGGGATGTTCAACACACACACACACCCCTCTAAATGTCTGGGCAGTGGAGGTTTAAAAGGCAGCATGCGGCTGTTTGCAAAAGGGCTTTCAAGCAGCCCTACACTCTGCAGCCAAATGATTTATCAGCTTTCCGTGGTACAATGTGAAATTTCCTAATGGTCTTAAGTACTCTGCTTCTTTGTCGTGTGTTTGAACTTCTGTTGTTTTTATTGTATTCCTGTGTTTAACTTACTCTGATAAAAATGATAAAATAAATAATAACCTGGAATTAGCAATGAGGGATTGCCATCCCGGCACAAGCCCTTTAGAATGTAAAAGTTGTCAGTTAAGGATTCCAGGTCTGGTATTTCTGCTGGTCTCAGTGCCCTTAAAGTCTTGATGTCTGCTTCATTCTTGCTCCCCCCCCCCCCCCGCACACATTCCCCTCCTTTTTTCATTTAAGCATCTTAATAGGAAACACATTTTTCTTCCTTTTCTGGTGTTCCCAACTAGAAACCTCAGACTGCTGGGCAAAGGTGAGAACTTTCAGCAATAAACCTGGGGCGACTCTCTCCCTTTTGACGGCCACAACTTGTGCTTTTCAGCAGAGAGTGGCCCTTGTTTTATCTGACAAGTTCACTTAGACGGGAATTCCCCCTCTCCCTCGCCAGCCCCACTCCCTGCCCCACAGTCTGCAACTTCAGCCATGTAGGCTGTCTGTCTTGGGGCACTGGGCTGGCTGGCTGATGCTGTTGTACTGAACATCGAAATCTGGATCAGTTTCCAACCAGAAGCCAGAAAACGTGTCAGGCATGAATTAGTTCCCTCGCTGAGATATTTGAGAGGAACAAATTAAAAGCGAAACGAAACACCAAGCGAAAACCAAGGATAAGGGGGTGGGTGAGAAGTTTGGTTTGGTTTGTATTTTAATGTGAACCAACCTAAATAAATCACACGTTCCGGAATGAGATCGGCGAACCAAAATGCAGCAGTTCCTTGGAATTTGCACCTCTCTGATGGTTTTTGATGCGATTCTCCAAACAAGTAATGTGAACAAAAATCTGTATTGTAAGGAGGAACGTGCATAAAAAGGCCAGCATTTGTGAAAATAGCATTAAGGGAAATTGCTTGCAAATGTGTTTCCGTTAGGAGACCTTGGCACTCAAATGAGGATTAGGCAAATTCATGGAGGAGGAGAGGGCTGTTGACGGCATCTCTGCCTCCACGGTGAGAGGCAGCAATGCTCTTGAATACCACTTGCTGGAAGCCACAGGAGAGTTGCTATTTTGCATTGAATCTTGCTTGCACGCTTCCCTTAATGGGCATCGTATGGGCATGATGGGAATCACATGCCGCTTGGAGAGAGAGGAGAGGAGAATCTGAGATTAACAATGCCACCCTGCATAGGGCTAATCAGAAGGAAACCCCATGAGTTTAATGGAATTTACCCCTGTTGAAGAATCAGTGGAAACTGATTTCATCTCAAATTACCAGGTCAGTTTCATGAATTTTTAGTTGAATCACTGTTTCCCAACCTTAACTGTATCTAAGTTCTACTCAGATCAAACCCACTGAAATTAATAAACCTAAATTAGTCATATCCATTCATGACAGGGGGTCTACTCTGAGTATGACCAACGTTGGATACAACCCATAGATAGATAATATAAATACTTAACGGTAGTTTTGGTATGTGTCATATCGTAAAAGGTATTCCCAGTTCTCTCACACTTGGCTGAATGGGGGAAATGCCTCTTCTCTAACACGGGGGATGTTTTCTCTTCAAAATTATTGTCTTGTTTATATTCAAACAGGGAGATTTAATTGGCTAGATACTTTGAACTGATTTATGGTCTCCATTTATAGACCATGGCAACTAGTCATCAATAGTGCTCCATCAAGATTAGAAGTGATCCCTGATGTTGATCTCTGATTATGATGATGCACTTTGCAGAACACCTGCTAATTTTCCTTTTGAGATCATGAACGTTAGGGATTCTTTAGCTGTGATTCACTGCATTGCAGGGGGTTGGACTAGATGATCCGTGAGATGATTCTTCCAGCTCTACAATTTGATTTTCCTAACTGCAGAAGGGAACTAGGAAACTGTTCATTTCTCCTTCCTTTCTCTGCACAGATCCCTTCCAAGCAAATAATTTGATCACGAATACTTAATTGCAGCATTTCTCTACCCTACCACCATACAAAATACAGGCTTTTCCCCTACACATTGTTTTTTTTAAATACCTTTTTTGCAAAGGCTAAACCTCTTCTTGTCCTTTATTCCCCCCCCCCTTCCAGGTAGTTCCTTGCTGTCTTACAACACACCAGCCCACACGGAACAATCCTCTCGACTCAATGCCAAAGAAGGTGAGTTCCTTCTTCTGGATCTTGATCATTTGTCTGAGACTGTTTTCCTGTAAAAAGCACCAAACAAGGAGCTCAGTTTGGAAATGCACAGAATCTGCTTCCTTGTCTCTTCATACCAGAGGCTGGGGAGGATGCTTTCCCTTTCTTCCCCATTGTCTAAACAGGTGTGGGGAACCTTTGACCCTCCAGAAGCTACTGAACTACGACTGCCATCAACCCTGGCCGTTGGCCATGCATGCTGGGGCTGATGGGAGTTGCAGTCCAGCAACTTGCTGGCGTTAGGAGCTGTTCAACAGGGGAGTGGACTCCCTCTGGAGATTATGGACTCTCCCTCACTGGAGGTTTTAAAGCACAGGTTGGATGGGCATTAATCATGAGATTCCACCCTTGTAAGAGGTTGACTCTTGAGGTTCATTCCAACTCCACAATTCTATGATACTATGAAGTTCAGGAGGGCCACAGGTTCCCTGTTCCTGCTCTAAAGTTCAGATCCTCACCTTACTGGGGCAGAGAATTGCCTTCTTTTGCTGTATTTTGCTTTTAATGTACCCAAGTGTGTTGATGGTGCTCTGCTTTTCTGTTTGTTGCATTCGTCAGTGCAGTTGAACAGGTGTGTAATTGTCCCCCTGGGGGCTTTTATCTTTATTTGCCCTTTATGTGGCCAGTGCCGGATTTACGTATAAGCTGAACAAGCTATACCTTAGGACCCCACTCTCTTGCCCCCCCATTTCACTATTAATATACTTCTTTTTAATTGCATTTCAGTTCAACAGTTACTTTGATCAATTACATATTATGTTATGTGCAAATGGCTTTAGATACCTATTAGGTCAATAAATTACCATATAGCATATATTCAACACAAAAAAACAGTGACAATTTGTTGTTGACAAAGGACAGCTGGACATATAAAGGGCTCCATTACCTTCAGTAGCTGAGGGCCTCATCAAGCCTAAATCCAGCCCTGTACGTGGCCTCCCCGGTAGAGGCCCCCATCCATGCTAGGCAGCCCCTGGACCTTTCCCCCTCCATGGCCTCCTCTCTCCTTCTCTATGTCTGCATCTCTGCTAAGCCAAAGCTGAGCAAAGGTCCAAAGCAGGTCTGCAGCACTTCTTTAGGGGTTGGGTTTCCTCATCATGTTAAGAGGGGTGCAGGTTGTGCAATATCTGAGTCGACCCTTGTGAGTGTATGTGTGTGAAGGCTTTGATCACAGCATTGTGGAGGCAGCTGGTGAGGAGATGGAAAGTTTAAAGCGTGTGCATCCCAGAGGCTGATCTTGGTCTTTGGATGTGTACTGCGTTGTCTTGGCCCTCCTGGCTTGCCGTACCAGGAACTGAGTCAGCAATCGGGCATCGTGCTTCTAGCTCTGCAATAAAGCTCTCCACACACACAGCTGCCCTTGAAATTAACTGCTTTTGGAAAAGTTCTCTGGTTATCCATCTTTTGTGCAGCCTCCTCTTCATGATACCAGAGGTTGCCACCCGTCCCTAGAAAAAACAGGATTGCCCCATTTTTGGACAAAAGTGTCCCCTGTCCCATTTGGACTTCAAACACAATCCCCGTATTTCAGCTCAGCTGGCCCAAAATGGTGGCTGTGTCGCTGTTGGTGTGGTTGATGAGGAGCCTGGCCCGGTGTGAGCGACAATAGAGAGGGGGAAGGAGCAACTTTCCTCTCCCTCTATCATCCTCTCCTTTGTTCCATTTCACTGGTGCTCCACATCAGCCACCACCTGTTGGTCTAGCATGGTGCAAGTCTGCTTGGCTCCCTCCGCCACCCCAACCTGACCTCCCCTCCTCCCTCCTCTGAAATTTGTGAGGCAGTTCTCTGCCCCAAAAGGATGCTATCTATCTATCTATCTATCTATCTATCTATCTATCATCTATCTATCTATCTATCTATCTATCATCTATCTATCTATCATCTATCTATCTATCTATCTATCTATCTATCTATATATCTATCTATATCTATCTATCATCTATCTATCTATCTATCTATCTATCATCTATCTATCTATCTATCTATCTATCTATATCTATCATCTATCTATCTATCATCTATCTATCTATCTATCTATCTATCTATCTATCTATCTATCTATCTATCTATATATCTATCTATATCTATCTATCATCTATCTATCTATCATCTATCTATCTATCTATCTATCTATCTATCTATCTATCTATCTATCATCTGTCTATCTATCATCTATCTATCATCTATCTATCTATCTATCATCTATCTATCTATCTATCTATCTATCATCTATCTATCATCTAATAATAATAAGGAGAGTTGATTGGGGAATTGCAGAAATGGGCCCAAATTGGATACAAAAGTTTGCATACAGGGGGAAAAAACCCAGAAACGTTTGTGCAGATTTGTACAGGAAAAATTGCAAACGGATGTGGAAACAAGGCAGATTAAATTTAAGCCTGGAAAAAATGAGGGGCACCGAAATAGACAGATTTGCCCGTTTTCCTCAATGCAAAAATATTTCTTGCATATCTGGGGAGGGGGGAGGGGCAGGTTTTTCGCACAAAAGCACCAAACCCACGTAAATCCTGCAACGTGAATTTTGGCAGTATGCAATCTGAATCCTACCCACTAAACAATGACTGTCTGGGAGAGCCCTTACTTTCAGATAAGTGTGCCCCATGGGATGGCACTGCTCTAGATCCATGGAGAAAATGTCCTGTGAATTGCTCAAATGTTGAAGCCAGACATTTACTCTTTGGACGTCTGTTCGTCTAGAGGCCAACAAGCGAAGAATCCTCCTTATGACTTTCCAGGCACAGCACCCCACCAGAGCCTGCTTGTTCTCTGACAAGGGGGGTGGGGCGGGGTCTGGATTTTAGCTAATTCATGCCTTTGCAACTGTCTGTTTCAGCACGAAGCCCACATTTTATATAAAAATCCCTTCTGCAAAGTGTTGTGTCTCGTGGTACTTCCACATTCCCACATCCTGCAGCCGCTGAGTCCATTTCCCTTAGCAATCACTTAATCTAAATCCCAGCTTCATCCTGGCTTTATAAGCCTAACCCTCCCCACCTACAGAAAAAAGAAGCAGCAAGTAGCGTATCTGTTTCAGTTTAAGCTCTGCCAACATCTCCTGTGTGCTGACGGTTGATGGGTTTGGCTCTAGGAGATTTTGGGGGAGGGAAAAGGGCCAGGTCTTTTTATAACTTGATGTTTCATTGATTACAATTTCCTTTTTTAGATGTGTTTTTCATATCTACAGCCGTAACAGCATATAAAACTATCATATAATAATCAAGATCAAAGCAATGCAATTCAATGTCGCAATTTTAATTTATTACCTGCCATTCTCCCAACGGTCCCAGGGTGCAACCATTTAATAAAGAGCTTAAGAATCTAAAAGATGCAGCCACCCAAAATAGAGTGGGTCCTGAAAATATACCTCTTAGGTGTCAAAAGCCAGGGTAAAGAGCTGTGTCTTCAGCATCCTCTGGATGCTATATAGTGAAGTTGCCAAATGTATCTCTTTGGGAGGGAGTTCTACCACTTTGGGGCTGCCACAGAGAAGGCCCTGTCCTGGGCATCACATGCAGGTCCTGCAATATAATATATAACTGAGTGCAAAAGGGGGGGGATATATCCAGTACATAAGGTAAAACTACAACTGGCATACACACGCATTTTAAGACTACAAATCTGCAATTTGACTAGAAGAAGCGGAGCAACCAGCTGCGAAATATTTCAGTTCAGAGAAGTGCAGCCTGTTGGATTGATCAATAATTGCTGTAGAGATGACAACAACACAAGCATAGTGGGAGAACCTCTGGATGTGTATACAGGACATGTTAGCATGGCCTCAGGCTGGAGAATGGTCTCCGCATAATGGACAATGTCCTCTAATCTCCGTAACTGACACCTTCGAAACAGTGTCATTTCCTTTTTATCAGAGCAGTTGATAAAGACGGAAGCCAAAACCTCTCGCCACATACATTTTTCTATAAAAAGCTCCGTTTTGTTAATCAGAGTAACATAGATATTATTTTAGTATTTAACTGGATTCTAAAAGGAACCCTGAGCATGCTTGTATGAAGTGCTTGGAGTGGGCTCTTTTGAACTCAGGTGTGCTTACTGCTGCCTGCGTAGGTTCTACTTTAAAAAAAAAAGTGCATTGAGCATTAACAAAAGATCTTCAGCCAGCTGAAATGCAACCTTTGGCTTTTAATTAGAAATGCAAACCCTCTTGCAAAGAAAGCTTAGCATTAAGTTTGCTAGCATGAACTGGGAACCCCACTGAAGAAAAGGAAAGAAGGACCCAGCCTCTACTTAATTATTTCCCTGATTCTTCCAAGTTCAATTTTTTTTGGAAGCCTCCTTACTTTGTTTATTTATATGAATACATATGTACCACCCTTCATCTTATGATTGCAGAAAGAAAACTAGTGTACAGTGGTACCTCGGCTTAAGTACTTAATTGTTCCGGAGGTCCGTACTTAACCTGAAACTGTTCTTAACCTGAAGCACTACTTTAGCTAATGGGGCCTCTTGCTGCTGCGGAAGCAAAGTTCTTATCCTGAAGCAAAGTTCTTAACCTGAAGCATTATTTTTGGGTTAGTGGAGTCTGTAACCTTAAGTGTATGTAACCTGAAGCGTATGTAACCCAAGGTACCACTGTAGACTTAATAAAACCCTCACCTCTGTCATTAGCCAGAGCAAGAAGGGTCTGTCTAGGAGCCCAATACCCTGGCAGATGACATCATCCACCCTGCTCATAAAAAGCTCTGCTCCTCTACCTTTGCCCACCCCTACTTGTAGGGCTTTCATTGCATGTTACAGAAAAGGCAAGGCTCTGAAACGGGACTGCGATTTTCCACAACAAGGAAGACAAAAAGACAGGCAGGAGGCAATGAAAGCAACAAGAATGCAAAAAGGAGAAATTGGCAGGTACCAGCTATCAGGGACAAGAGGCCTGTGGGTTGTTTGTTTGTTTTTAGATCACCTGCTTCAGAGATTTGGGTAA